GTTTGAGATATTTAGAGATATTCAAAGAAATGTTGAAGAATTAAGCTTTTAATTGTGTAAAAGCTTATACATTCACTTGGTTTAAAATTACTAAGGTAAAAAGGGGGAAACAATGAAAATTCTCTTTCTGGCCAGTTTCCCTCACCAGTTTATTTTGTTCAATGCCAGGGGCCCTACAATTCGAGAATCCTGGTTTTGTACATATCAACAGAGAAAGAGATCAAGGGTCAAGGCTATAGATTAGCCATGGTTAACAATGAAAGCAGAGATACACTCACCTTGTTGAATAATAAAGAATGATTTTAGTGGAGCAAATACTAGAGCCTATCAACAGTGCAGAGAGCAATTCCACACACAGATTTCTAGACTTGTGTGTGGAAACCTGTTTGACTGGTTTGGTCTCAGAGGAGCTAAGAGAACCCAAGGAGAAGTAAGACTCATGTAAACAAAGTAAATAACCATTTGAAGTACAGACCTTCTGAAGATACAGTTCAGGAACTTTAATGGGATGGCATATAGAAGCTGAGAAAAGGAGAAAGACAGGAGAGAGGAGAGTTAAAAAGAAAAGAGGTGAGGAGGAAGCAAGTATAAAAATTGCTCAGATTCATATTGAAAAATATAAGACGGTACATTAGTCATGTTTGAGTTTCTTTCTCTATTTCAATATTTACTATCCATGTGACTTTGGGAAATGTTCCCATTTGTAAAATAGTAACTTCATTACAAATGCTGTTCATATAATATACGCAGTGCCTGGAAAATATATATATATATATATATATATATACACACACACACACACACATACACACACACACACATACATATAGTATATGTTCTCCCATGACAAATATTTTTATTTGTTATGAGTAATTCTGATTAACAAGAAGACAATTTTAAATCTCTGCAGGATTGAGATTCTCTAGTTAAAGTTTATTCTTTTTTTTAAAATATATTTTATTGATTTTTTACAGAGAGGAAGGGAGAGAGATAGAGAGTTAGAAACATCAATGAGAGAGAAACATCGATCAGCTGCCTCCTGCACATCTCCTACTGGGGATGTGCCCGCAACCCAGGTACATGCCCTTGACCGGAATCGAACCCGGGGCCTTTCAGTCCGAAGGCCGACGCTCTATCCACTGAGCCAAACCGGTTTCGGCTAAAGTTTATTCTTATAGCTCACCTGTATGATAGAGAAAAATCTGAAAACAATCTATTTTTGTTAAATTTGAAATAAGAGAATCCTTAGCTGCACAACTCATAAGGAAAATATGGGCACATCACTCAAAATCAGTCTGAGTTGAAGTTTAAGTTAAATGACTACCAAAAATATCAAAATCTATATATATAAAAGCCTAAGCGACTGGCCAACCAACCGACAACCAGCCAACCAGCCGGTAGCTATAATGCTCAATGATCACTAGGGGGCAGACACTCAATGCAGGAGCAACTTTGCAGAGTGCCCTCTCACACTCCGGGACCCCTCCGGGGATGTGGAACTGCTGGTTTTGGTCTGATCCCCGCAGGCCAGGCCTAGGTACCTCACCTACCAGAGGGACCCTGCTCACCCTGCAGAAACCCTTTGAGCCCTGGTGCCGCCCAGGTGCGGTCAGCTTGGGGGGGGGGGACCGTGGAAGGTTGGCTCCAGGCCATGTCTGGCCAGTCTCACCCAGTCCCACCCCGCTGGCCACCTTCTAATTAATTTCCTATCAATGTGCATGAATTCATTCACTGGGCCTCTAGTTAAAAATAAGGCCACTGTACTTCTGAGAAACTTCAGTGTAAAGATGTTGTACTATATCTTTACCACCTTAATGAGATCAATTTAAGCATTTTAACTTGTTGTTCTTCCCCCAAGACATTTCGATGAGGGCAAATTTTGCAATTAGTGGCCTCTAAATTTTAATTGCATCATTAGTCTTGTAGATCCATTCGGAGTCCCTCTTTCCTGAACTAGCTTATTCAATTAGCTAATAATTGCTTTCCACCTGTCAGGACAGAGTCAAAGTCTGCATCCTAGAAAAGTGGCACTGGCCACCACTGTTTCTTATAAAACTCCTGATTTGTTAAGGTGTTTTAAAGCTCCTAAGCAATTTGGAGAAACAGGCAGAGATCAATCTTATTAGAGGTAGCTTTTGCCACTGTTAAAATTTCACTATATGGCCCAGGCTCCAGCCAACCATGAGCAATAATTGTGTCCTTGTGCCTGAATCTGCCTTGGCTAATGCCTAGCAATGTTTTTATGACTCATTTTGAGGCATGGCCTATGATAAATGTCTCAGTACTAAGCAAATACCCACTCAACTCAATACATTGGAAAGAAGTTTATTCAGGCAAGATGGGAACTGCAGCACAAGTTTCATAGGCTGTGATTAAATTAAACCATTTGTCATAGTCTCAAAGGCCTCGTGAGAGATTTAGCTAATTCTTTGGGTTTTTGTAAACGGAGTAAATTCCCTTGTAAATACACAATTTGACATGCATGCCACCTTGCATTTCCTTATCTTTGTTCCTAAAACTTAAAAATAAAACGTATAATATATTCTACCTTACATGGATTTACAAATTAATCCGTATCTAATGCCTCCAAATTTCTAAGTTAATATATATAAGCGACCAAACAAGCAAACGACCGGTCAACCAGTTGCTATAATTCGCACTGACCACCAGGCAGCAGACGCTCAACAAAGGAGCTGCCCCCTGGTGGTCAGTGTGCTCCCACAGGGGGAGCGCCGCTCAGCTGACTGATGGGTGCCAGACGCTGGGCCCAAAGCTGGGAGTGCAGCTGCGGCAGCGTGAGCCTCTCCCACTTCTGCAGCAGTGCTACCCAGCAGCAGAGGCAGCAGGTGCAGCAGGGCCAGGATGAGCGGGAGCGGTGCTGCACCTGACCCAGGCTCGGGCTCCTCCCTGGCTGCCTGCTGCTTGGCGCACCACTACATCCCTTGGTGGATGTCGGACTGCCGGTTTCAGCCCGATCCTCTGGCCTGCGGGGATCAGGCCAAAACCGGCAGTCCGGCATCCCCTGAGGAGTCCTGGATTGCAAGAGGGAGCAGGCCAGGCTGAGGGACCCCACCGGGGCACGAATCCGTGCACCAGGCCTCTAGTAATTACATAATTTGTTAATGCTCACAGCAACCTTCTTTCTAATGATTTCTTCTTCTCCTTCCTTAAGCTAATGCTGACTCAGACACCAGTAGGAAGATAATAGTGGTTGGGATATCACTTGGGTCTTAATCAGTTTCAGAAGTACTTCAGAGAAATGTACATGGTGCTTACATGTTTTGCATCTGGTTTTTAATACTGTCAGATGTCTGGTGGGTTAAATTCACTATACCAAGTTTTGTCAAGGAACTTCTCACATTGTCATTGCACTAATCATCACAAAATACACTGAGTGGCCAGATTATTATGACCATCTGACGTTTGTAGGCAAATTAGCTATAATTTTGCGCTGAAGTTGCTAGAGGGCCAGACCATTATAAATAGGGAAGCAGGTTGTTTACCACGACAGTAGAAGTGATTTTTTT